CCTTTCCAATCTTAATGATTCCTAGTTTTTACTTTCATTATTTATAGTTGAGCCACCAAGCCAGGAAACATGAAATTGCTAATCTACCCTTAACTGGTTTAGTGGTAGACTTGGTAATGTTAGGTTAATGGTTGGACTGGATGATCTTAAAGCTCTTTTCCAACCTAAATGATTCTATGATTCTGTTAGGTGGAATTTCTCTAGATTTGTCTAATTCTCTCTCTGTGCATTCTTTCTTTCTGTTCTTAACAAATGCCTAGCTCTCTCCACTCTGGCTTTTGGAGTTTATTCTCACTGGTTTCAGAAATAAAGCAAAAGAAATCTGGTTTCATAATTGCATGTGTATAGATTATTACTTTTTTTAGGAATGAGTCTTTTCAACAGTTTACCACTTATGTAAGTAAGTACAGAAACATTTCCAGAAACCTTAGCAGTCAAAGGACCAAAAGCTGGGGACAGAAACAAAATGGGGGAAAGGGAAATCGTGTTCTTTGGAAACACCCAATTAAGCCCAGCTTCCTTGGCCTCATGTAAAGATCTAATATTTTTGTAAGAAACCAGTGTCTTTACATCCTGTTTTGAGGCCATGCTATTGTATTTGTGTCTAGTGTATTTTAAAGATCATAAGCTCCTTCTAAAAGGAAAACTTTGATACCACTTATACTGGAAGTGGTTGGTGATGTGTAAGCAGAACAGTATGTGGGTTTTAACAGCATTCTGGATTTTAATCTTACGTATAGGCTTGCAGTTATCCATGAAGAATTATTTCTCCCAGATTTTTTTGCTGATTTTCAAGATTAAAAAGAATAGTACCTTCTACCATTCGACACAGCAGTGCCTTTCTGGATTTGAAACATCAGGCTCCAAGCAGATACTGCAATTAAGATGTCATTAAAGCTGAAATGCTCTGGTGCCCAAGCATCTGTGTCTGGTTTTTTTCACTAATTTGTGCTTTCCGCAGTTTCCTCGTTCTATCTCGAGAGAGATCTTCGCAGGTCCTGTGTCTTGTTTTTCTGACAGCTGCAGATTTCTACTGCTTTTTTGTTAATGTTGGTCTGGGGTTTTCTGTTCTTAAGAGGGGATTCTGTGCCTCTGTTGAGTATTTAGAAAGTGCACGGTAACAGATTTTGACTTGAGCTATCCAGAACTGAAAACAACAATTAAATTAAGAGGACTGGCCTCTCTCCTCTGTTTGAGATAGCAGAAGCTTTGAAAAGCATCAAGAGCAGTTAAATAGCCTATAGATAAATGTTTAAAGCTATTGCTGCAATAATGTAATACTGGTTTGTATTTGAAAATCTGTCTGCAGAGAATAAAGACTCAAAACAAATAGCTTAGTTCAGCAGTCTATTAAAAAGTTATCCACCATACTAGTAAATATGAATTTCCTTTTTTATTTGAAGTATGCAGAAAATGTCGCTTTTTTCTTTATTCTTCCTCCTTTTTATAGAAAAAGAATGGAATTAAATATCTAATGTAGTAATAAATTTGTAAAGCCTTCTGTTTAAAGAAGTCTTTTCATTATCTCTTATTTTCTAAAGCAGCTGTACTCAATGTCAAACTTACATTTGCACTTCTATTTTGGCCATACATAGAAAAAGTGTGTGACATTTGAAATGGTATTTTTAAAAAAGCGTTCAAGTAGCAGTAAACATTAAACTCCACTTTTTTGAACACATCTTATTTTGTAGGTTCAAGGCAAAGACCCTTCTGTTGATATTACTCAGGACCTTGTCGATGAATCTGAAGAAGAACGTTTTGATGATATGTCATCACCAGGTCTAGAATTGCCATCTTGTGAATTAAGTCGACTAGAAGAAATTGCAGAACTTGTGGCATCTTCACTGCCTTCACCATTACGTCGTGAAAAACTCGCACTAGCACTGGAAAATGAGGGCTATATTAAGAAGCTCTTAGAAATTTTTCATGTGTGCGAAGACTTGGAGAACATTGAAGGACTACACCACTTATATGAAATTATCAAGGGAATTTTCCTTTTGAACAGAACTGCACTTTTTGAAGTCATGTTTTCTGAGGAATGTATAATGGACGTAATTGGATGCCTAGAATATGATCCGTCTTTATCACAGTCACGGAAACACAGGGAATTTCTGACTAAAACGGCAAAATTTAAAGAGGTGATTCCTATATCTGATCCAGAGCTGAAGCAAAAAATACATCAGACATACAGAGTACAGTATATTCAAGATATGGTCCTACCCACTCCCTCAGTTTTTGAGGAAAATATGCTATCAACACTTCATTCTTTCATCTTTTTTAATAAAGTGGAAATAGTTGGTATGTTACAGGTAAGTTTCAGAACTTCACAGTCTCTTTATTTGTGCTTGGGCAGAGAAAGTTGGGTAATTTTTTTTTTTTGAAAGATTGAGGTGCTTCAGTGGAAACTTCGCTTCTGTGATTCTGAAAGTCATTTTGAAGTATGACATAAAAGGCATGGATTTGAGTACTGAGCTGGTAAATATATGTTCTTAAATTTCAGATTTTGGACTAGATTCTCTGTAACTGATTTAAATGGAGCAAACGTAGAATCCTGAGTGAGACTGTTTGCGATGAATAGTATTGTTTGCATTTTGATGAATTGATTTTGTTAGGGTTTTTCTTCTGTATTTTGGGACTTTTTAGGCACTACAGTTAAGGATAATATTTGCATGTTACCATGACAAAAAAAACCCCAAACTACTTCACCTAAATTTCACAGATACAATCTCATACCAGGATATAACTGTTTCTGATTTTGAAGTAAATTAAATAAGTTGTTTGGAAAGTACAGGTTCAGAACATAATGTTGCCTTAGGTGCTTGAATGTTTTCTTAGTTTGTCTTAAGTACCTAAATAATGCTGCTTGGAATTACGAGTTTTTCATGACGTATGTCTTACTGCAAATGTAAAGAGATTATATGATGGTTCAGATAGCTTACCTACATGTCTTAAGTATTCTGCACCAACCCATGAACTTCCTGAACTGTGCAGAAATAGGTGGCACATCTCTGTAATGGGAGCTTCCTAAAGTTTTCAACTAACTCAGCAAAGTGTTAGAGCACATGTATTTTGGTTTGTAGAAGTTAATTATCATTATCTTAATTCTCCTAACGTTTAATAAATGAATAGTCACTGTCTTTGCAGGGCCCGTCTGATCTGGAGAAATGGACAAAGTGCTAGATGCTACTGATTAACTTAAGCATATTTATCTTCAGAATGCACCCCATTTAATTTCATGGAAAATACAGCAAAGGAGAGTGGAAATTGCTTTTGCATGCTCATACAGCAAATCATTGTCAAAACTAGGGCTCCCAACTTTTCATCCACCATGCTCAGTTGATCAGAATACTGACATTATTTAATCTACTCTCTTGGAGCTTTAATCTGTCATGTCTACACACAAAGTATTTGATAAGCAGCCAGATGTGCAAGATGTCACCTGGCCTGGCAGCTGAGGTATGTGCCTCAGTTATTGGAGACAGACCATCACTTATTGGAGCAGCCACTGGAGGCCCGGTGGAACACCTATGGCATCTTCAGTAGTACTAGACCCCAGCTTATGCCCAGTTGAACCAAGCTCTTTATGTCTGTATGTGCGTCTCTGATAAAAGTCACAAATGCGTATCTGAAACAGTCAGAAGGCCTTAATCATTTTGGAGTGGCCAGTTTGAGAAAGCTCACAAGCCTGTCTTTGAGAGAGTGCTGCAAAAGATGCAGTTAAGGGGTCTCAACTTGAGTATCCAGTATGACTAGTGTCTCTAAAATATCTTGACCTCTTGCAAGGGTTGCTAAAAGCAAAGTCCTGAGGATGATACATTTTGGCTTGAGGAGGAGGAGGGGAAAATTATTCAGGAGTCTTGGTGTCAATGGCTGATTCTGGGAGGGATCTTGAACTTTGAAAAGGAAACTGGGCAAGGAGAAAGAAGACCTGATCCTGCAAAATCATTAAGGGCATGTTTGCCAGAAATCCTGAGGTAACTTGATCAAGGACTAGTGGCTGATTAGTTTCCTTTTTTCTGTCTCTTGCAACCTGTGTTAGGTTGATAGATGCAGGGTAAGCTTGGGTTAGAATATCAAGGTTTAGTGTGGTTGCGAAACTTGTTAGCTGCAGTTTACAGTTGAAAGAGAGGTTCAGCTCTGATTTTGATTTGTTGTGTGACCGCAGGTTTCTGAATCTTATCTTCACTTCTGCTGCTGTTGTCTATGGTTGAGAAGAAGGTATACTCCCTGTGCGGTGGAGCCAGAAGAATTAGCATTGCCTAACTTTCAAAGTTCGATAAATATTTCAAGTTATTCAAGTGCTTTCTACAGCTTTGAGGAGCCAAGAGTGGTAGCACACAAGGAAGAAAATCTATCCTGTGCTATATTGCCTTTCCTAGTCCTTTTGCAGTACAGCTCTATAGCATTGAGGGGGAGCTCCCTGAGTTTATAAATAAGAATATTGGGAATTATTTGACATTAATGATCAGTTCTTGGTTTTGAGGGAATTAAAAGAAGCTATCACAAATTATATGCCCATTGCATTTCTACGAGATGAAAAGGCTTGTTTGATTGATTTTTCAAGTTCTCACAGTGTAGCTCTAAGTCAATGTTTAAACCTACTTACCTGGCATTTATTTATTCATTTATTTATAAAGCAATATGTCAGGTTGCACTTTTCTGTAATCTCAGCCCCCTAAAGTTTCATTCTCCCCTTTACTTTTTCCACCTCCCCATTCCCACAGTCCATGTATAAAATGTATGATACTGTTCCTTCTCATTTCTTCAAGCAGAATAAAAAGACTGCTTTTATTGATTTCAATTCTATAACTAATTCTTAAGGTCTTTCTTCCATTAGTGTATGGTTTAACATGCATTTCTGTAGCTGGTTGTATCACAGTGCTTTGGCGGGGATGTGCATGTTATTTCATGACAGATTTAAAGTTGTGTGTAATTGGAGTTCCTGGCATTCATTATTTCAGATCTTAAAAGATCCTGGTGCTCAGTAACCTTACGTGGGTACTTAAGAAGCTGTTTCTTTTATAAGTCATTATTAATTGAAGAATTTCTGGTATGCTTCATGGTAGCTTATTGGGAGCCACGGGTGAGTCTCAAGTTCTTAGTTAGCTGATGCATAATACAGGTTGTTATGCTTCTGCTGTTGACTTCAGGTTGTCTCTCCTGGACCATTGAGGGTGTGGCGAAAGACATATCTTTTTAGGAAATTTTACTTCTCAGGTTAAAAGTAAACTGTCCAAGCAGCTGGTATCCTGTGACATACTGCAACTATTGGGTGTACAGCTGAGTTGGTTTATATTCTGGTTTTTTATCTCTCACTGGCTGTGAAGAAAAAGAGAAGAACTGGTAGCTGCACCATGGAAAAAAAACAGATGAGCTCTAAAGAGCCCTTTTCATGTCAGGCTGTGTATTAACTAAAGTGGCACTTGCAATACCCTCATCTCAAATTAACTCAGCCATACCTTAGTTACAGAAGAGTGACTAGAAATTTGTACTAGACTGTGCAGATTGTGCCTTATGCTTTTTGACAGTCTGGGTGACTTTACTCAAAATTTCCACTGTGTGTTATTTAAGGTATTTTGTGTCAAGATAGGACATTTAAGGGCATTAAAGGTCACTGACATTTAAGGCCAGTTTTTCAATTATAACTAGTGAATTCTGTAGATAAGAATATGCTGATTCTTAAGAATTCTGGCTTTATTAGGAGATTTTGGATGTACTTAAAAAAAATATATAAATTCTGTAGTCATAGAAAATACCTGCTTCCATGATTTTGCTTTCTTTGGTAAGTAAATAATTTCTGCCTGTTCTGTGGTAAAACCAAAAGTAGAGAATGGGTCACCTTTGGCACTTAGGGTTACGAACTGTGTTCCTCCTTCCTTCATTAAAGTTAGCTTTCCCGTAATCTGTATAAAAACGCTTACACTGATGGGCTTTTCTGAGAAATGGAGGTTAGTTTATTTGTAATTTAATTGTCTAAGATCTGTTATTTTAAGTAACTATGTTAAGATCTCACTAAACTAGATACTGTTGGTCATGATGGGTAGTAAACCCACGATACCAGTGTTTCCAGTCTACAGAATTAACTGCTGTGGAAACCTGCTCGGTTACAGGTTTTATGATTCGCTGTACATAAGATATGAAAGAGGTATATAACATTTTTTTCCAATTTCAGCCCCTCCTAATATGCTCTTACTGCTTGGGCTCCAACCTGATCTAGTCTTGAGATGTCATAGCCACCAAGAAAACTTGCTGAGGAGTTCGCCAAGTTTTGAGAGTGGGGGTGGGACAGGTAAGTGGTGTTTCTTACTTTATATGACGCTCTTTTGCAATTTTAAAAATATATACTAATGTTCACACTGGAGGCCACCAGTTCTTTCCCTTTGTATTATTAACTAGTTCTTAAAAACCAAAAACTTGCAAAACTGCGCCATAGAGTGAGCAAACACTGTTTCCTCCCATTCTCTACCCCCTTTCTCATTGGCGTGTTCTTTTTGCCAGCAAGATCCTGTGGTGGTTTTGTCTTCCAGAATACAGAACGTTGTTAGGATTACTTTCAAGTATGTGCATTTAGACTTCAGAGTCTTTTATTTTCAGGAAAGTGGAGAGTGGAAGGGGAAAATTGGATATACGTTAAAATAACTTATGTGCCTAGTAGAGCAGTGATCACATGGCATTATTGTACTGGTAAATCAGCTTTTTTAAACACAGAAATCATATGACTGGTAGTCCCTGTTCCCCTTTTCAATAAATGAAAAATTGTAGGCATGTAGGTACATCTGTATTTTACTGGATTTATATATAACAATAGTCTGGTTTTAATTTTGAAAGTGGTTTTACAGATAGTTACTTATTCTTAACAGAACCCCATGGATGTCAACGTAATTATCTGTAGCTGTTTTAGAGGAAGAAGTGTGTAAGTCCATGTTGGTAGTTTTGCCATTTGGTATTAGGATTGGAATGTCTCCTGCCGGTCTGCTGTTTTGCAGTAATTGGCTTAGGAATAACTCTGGAGATGTACTTGCAGCAAAATTTACCTTGCAATAATGTGTAAAAGGATGCCACTTTCTGGGGGAAATGACTTAATGAAAGAAGTTTGCAAGTGGTGCGTGCTAATGATTTCTGCAGTTAACTTGTTCATTGTAGAAAATGATTTTCAATGTGTACAGAAACTCCAAATGTGATCAGGTGGATCCCGCTGCTGTTTCAGCATGTTGTTCCAAGTGGAAATCGCTTATTGATAGCGAATGGAGGCATGTGTGAAGGCAGTCTGAGATAAAGGAGACTGAAACATTTTAAACTATGAAATCTTCTGGTGTGGTAGCAAGAAGGACTGTATGTTTGAAGCCGTAATTCTCTGTTTGCTGGTAACATGTTATGAAACTTTCACTTTCTGGCTGAAATACTATTTCTGCCTAAAATGAATATGGAAGTGGAAAATAGGATGGCGAGTATGCTCTTTTTCCAGCTTAGGTGTCATTGAGTTTCTTGGATTTTTTTTTTTTTTTGAGAAAGGGATGTTTTTCATCATTTATCTGTAATCAGACATGAAGTATCTGATAACTGAAAGATAAATATAATTAAGAGAGGCCTGCTTTTGAAGAATGCTTTTCTAAGTGCCTTTCAGGAGGGGGAGGGCTGCTTTGAAAGTTGAATCACAAATGTAAATAGTGTCTTTTTTTGTGACCCTGCTTGGTGGGTTTTCTTGTTTTTAAAGTCATAAATGATTGAGTTGAGTAGATGGCCTGGCTTAATTTTATCTTCATGAACTTTGAAAGGTATTAAATCCTGGGAGCACCTACTTAAGTCTTGCAAAAGCATAAATGAATATACTTAAGTGTTTGGTATATGCATAGTTTACGTATTGCACATTTAATAATTTCTGTGCATGGAGAAAATAGCTGGATTCTACAACTACCCCATAAACTGTCATTTGCAGTTTTATTTTGGAAAACAGCTGTAATCTTCACAGCTTCTAAGATACATCCAAATGGGTTTTGATACCTCTCTGCATGAAGAGGCCAGATGCTGCAAAGAATTATGCATTTGCACTGTGTTTACTTCACAGACATATTTTGGGGATTTTTGCAAGTTAGGAAAAAAACAGAAAACATTTAAGCTTGTGTAATTCTGGCATTCAGTGTTGGTGCTTTGTGACTTCTAAAATATGTGAACGCTGCTCTCAGACTGTGCATTTCCACAGATTCTAGTAGCGTTGTTCAGGAATGTATCTTTAGATATGCTGCCATTGTCAGTAATTTTACAGCTTGAGAGAGAGAATCTTGTATTTAGAATGCTCATTGCAATCACAATTTTTCTGTAAATGTGAGAGGGTTGGGGTTTTTCCCATTGATAACAACCTGTCTGCCTTTCATTAAGCATCTGGAATGAGACAGCACCTAAACGCGTTTCAGGGCTAAGACGTAACTGTGAAGTTAGTAATAAGTTGTTTTTATTTTCCTGGAATAACTGCCATTTACTGCATACTATCCATGTAAGGGTGGGATGATTCAAATCACTCAGATCCACCTTAATTTGTCTGATTTTAAATAGATCACAGGTGTTCTGAGGCCTAGCGATTTCAGATAATGCTATTAATTTAGAAGTACAATGTATTTAATGGAGTTTGGGAGAGGAGATGGTGTGGAAGATGCTTCAATATTATATTTAATATAGAATTGTGAAATACTGTATTATAGTATATATGTTGAGGGTTGAAAAATGGTTACATACCAAACTTCTGCAATTCTTCCTGAAACATTAAGTGTCAGCATTGAAGTCTTGATCACTTCCCAATGTTAGGAAGTCCCCTCTACAAGTCCCAAATGTTTGCAAGCCCAGTAGTAACAGGGTGAGTGGGTTGGCCTCCGTGACTGATGGCCACATCTTGAATCAGGCAGGGCCGTGGCAGGATCTGGTCGGAGAGCTGAGCTGGGGTCCTGCCCACGCCTTCCTGCCTGCTGTGCTCTGCCACGCAGTGCTGGAGGTACAGCTTCCCTGGCCACCTCTGTCTCTGGGGCAATGCAGCGAGTCATAAATGAGACCCACGTATCGCCAGCGGTGCAGGGCTGCCTCCTCTCCTTCCATGTTTTGACTTAAAAAAAAAAAAAAAAAATTGTGTACCTTTTTTATGCAGAAGCACACTAATCATGGCTCTGACACATCTAAATGCTGAAATTTCCGTTTCTAGTGAGCATTTTGAAATATTTCTGTGGTATTGAATTGCACTTACTATCAGGTATTATGAAGGAGGTGAAAAGTTGGTTTCACAGTAAGAATGGAAATAGGGGTTACGCTTTCCAGTTGGGGATAAGCATGCATCTTCTCAAAACTTTTGATAGCTGCGATTAGTTTTACATATTTGATCAAAATAGCAAAAAGAGAAATGAAAGCAAACTACTTAGCCTTGTCTTAAATGCACTGCTAATGAGATGGAGAATAGCTTGCATGTTTTTCAAAAGAACTGGGGTTTATGTTTTTTGGTTTGGTGGTTTTTTTGTTTTTTTTTTTTTAATTTCAGTAAACAAGTATGTCAGTATCTGTACTGTGGGTTAGTTATGTTACCTGTAATGTCTAACAGGTTAAATATTAGAACAGAAAACTTACCAAGCCATATAACAGCTGGATAGCAGCTAAACAAACATCCTTGTATTCTTTCGTGACAGCTTAAGTTACGTTTCTTGAAATGAAAGACCTTAATAGTTGCTTTGAACATGTTTGACTGTTGAAATCTGAAAGTCAAACTTTACACTTCCAGTGCTTGATCCTCCACGGTGAATTTTGGTAAACTTCAAATGAGGCCTCTCCTATTTCTTTTTGGTTTGATTTTGAAGCAGTCACAGAAATAGCACCTGAAATTGTGTCCAGAAATCATTCTTTGTTCATTGTCACTAGACTGTTGGGTTAGCTTAGAAGCACAGCATCAAACAAGAGGAAACGTGTGGCATATCCTAAATATAGGGTTTACCTTATAGTGTGGTGAAATGCCTTGTAGGGCAGTAGCTCATGCCAGCCTATTTTGGGTTTATCTATGTTGTGCGGTATCATGTAGAGATCCTGGATTGGGTTGTGACAGCATTATAGCTGCATTAGCATGGTGTGCTATCAGAACTGAGGTACTCATTTTCTCAGCAAGGCTACAAGGTGAGCCTGGATGTGGTACCTAGATAATTTGCAATTTAAGAAGGTTTATGTGGATGTATCTGAAGTACTTTCATGGTTCTGCTTTATGCTGTGTAAATATAAGCAAGGCAACTTAGGTTTCTAGCACTGTGGTTTTGGGATGGAGGGATATTGCATGTAGTATTACTGACTTCACAAGAAACAACATGCTGCCAGCTTTTTGAAAACATCTATTCGTACCTGATGTACAGGTATCTTTTTCAAGCAAGTGCTGTCTTATTACTGTGCAATACTGGGGAAGGTTGATTTCTGTTTTAATAATCTTCTAGCTGTTAGGACTGTAAAGGTTATGGGAAGCTAAGTATTGCTGATTCTTTCAGTCTAAATACATGTTTGTGATGTGTTGGCTGCTGTTTGTAGTTTTGCTAAAGTACAGCAGCATGAAAAACAGAATCATTTTTGATTGCTGCTGGCTAGAATGCCCAATAAATGCTGTACATAATAGGAACAGTTATTTTGATTTGGTTTCTAGAATTCACCCATTTCACAACACTGGGGGGAAAGAATCTCACCTTGTTCCTGCTATTATGCAGCTCTCCCTTCATCGTGTCCTTCCTTTAGTTCTGCTCCAGAGATCTCGTAACATTCCAAAGATGCATGTATGTGTAGGGCTGAGTGGGAGATCATGTTTATCAAAGTATGTAAACAGTTGAAGCAAGGGTATTGTAGGGTGGTTTAGGGGGACGGGCATGTGACAAGGGGGGGAAGTTAGAGAAGTCATAGACAAGATGATGAGAATGGCAGTAGAGAAAGGACAGCCAAAAGGCAATACAAGATACACTGTAACTGAGAATGAAGTGTTGGGGGATGGGGTGGTGTTGAACATGGTAAAAGCTCAAAACCAAGATTCATATTAATCTGTTTGAAAATTGAATTAGAAAGTTGATACTGGTATGATTACAGTACACAAGCATATGTTCTCTTAATTGCAGGAGGCATGGTTTAGAAGAACTGTGTATTATACTTGGATACCTTTTGAAATTGTCAAATAAACAAATGGTATTGTTTTGCCTTTGTAGGAAGATGAAAAATTTCTGACAGACTTGTTTGCACAACTAACAGATGAAGCCACAGATGAGGAGAAAAGACAGGAATTGGTAAGAAATCTGTAAAATATACACGAACAGGACACTTACTATAAAGTGATACATGCATCTTTTTTTGAATTACTAACTAGTATATTATTCCTGTTTTTCAGGTAAATTTTCTGAAAGAGTTTTGTGCATTCTCTCAAACACTGCAACCTCAAAACAGAGATGCATTTTTCAAAACCTTGTCAAATATGGGCATACTGCCAGCACTAGAAGTCATATTGGTAAGTCAGCTCAATTTTGTCTGTGATAACAATTGTTTTTATCTCCAGAGGGGTTTTTTTAAAAAAAGTATGCCAGACTTCAGTCACATGCTTTTCTGAAGTGTTTGCTTCATTTGTCTTGTCTTAGCTGGAGATTCAGAACATTTAAAATATTCTTGTAAAACTTTAAAAGCAGTTACAATATGATATTTGGTAAGTGCCCTGGCATTCTTACATTTTTGTTTTCTCATTTGCTTTCCTATCTTATGTACTTCTTGGTGTACAATTAAGTAAGAAAAAGGGAACTAGACCAAAGGGTGGGGAAACCATAAAATGTATTTTGCCCAACACTTGTCAAGTGTACAAAGAAGAGGTTAGAGTCACTTCAGTTTTAGAATACGGTTTTAGTAATAGTTAGGTATGACTTGTAAGTAGGAATTAAAAGCTATATGCTCTCTGGTTTTCATTCCATTTAAGCCTTTTCTTTTAAGGAAACATGAATGGAAACATTAAGGAAACATTTGACTTTTCCAGGGTATGGATGATGCACAAGTACGAAGTGCAGCCACTGATATATTCTCATATTTGGTTGAATATAACCCATCCATGGTACGAGAGTTTGTCATGCAGGAAGCGCAGCAGAATGATGATGTAAGTAGAGGGTCCCCAATGTGCGTATTGTTTTTTGAATTTACTGTGTTATATTTACAACTCTATTAATGACATGAGCCCTAGTTCTTCAGAAGTAGGGAATATAGTCATGATGGTTACAGGATACTGAACTACCATGTTTTTAAAAGGTCTGTTAGTCAGGTGAGATGAGTGTTTGCCTGTTTACACACAATGGAACAAGAATATGTAAAGTAAAACAGGTTACCGTAAACCACCATTTTGGTTAACATCAGCTACCACAGAAGCAAACCAAAATGTTTTTGAACCACGGCGTCCTTAAAATGCGAAATAAAAATTTCAGTCTTAATCTTAACATGTACAAGTGTTTTTAATTTACTCATAACAAACCTGTGTTCAGTTTACTATCACACATATTGAAAGTGGAATTATGGTCCTAAGTGTTCAAGAACCCTTTTTGACAGATGTTTACATTTCCCAGAGATCCTCTGTAGCTGATTAATACAGAGTGCTAGCACACTGTAACTATTATTTTCTACTTTTATGTGTTATTCTTGTTTTCTGCAAATACATGTTGGGGTTATTTTTAAGTGAAAATAACCTCATCAAGTTCAGTAGCATTGTAAAATTTACTGTTGTATGTTTGTGGAAATAAAACTATTGGTATCTTGTAAAGTTAATTTGTTTCTGTTAAGTTTGGGGTTTTTTTGCTTGGTAGTTGTTTAAATTTTACAAAATTTTGATGTAACACCATTTTTAACCAGGCGGTAACCCTTTTAGAAGATAATTTCAGATTTTGGGGTAAGGGAGTGTCATTAGAATTGATGTTTGCTTTTTTTTTCCCCTCCCTGCTAGGATATATTACTCATTAACCTCATTATAGAACACATGATTTGTGACACAGATCCAGAACTTGGAGGGGCGGTGCTACTCATGGGTTTGCTTCGTACTTTAGTTGATCCAGAAAACATGCTTGCCACTGCCAATGTAAGTAAATACCTTCAAATGAAATTACAGTTGTTTTTTGTAGAGTATCTGGTGATATGTTACATATATAATTTTTTTTTTATTATTATTATTCTTTAGAAAACAGAAAAGACAGAGTTCTTGGGTTTCTTCTACAAACATTGCATGCATGTTCTGACAGCCCCTTTATTGGCCAATACTACAGAGGACAAGCCTAGCAAAGGTAATGCCACTCTGGATGTTGGGCTCATCAAGGCTGTTGAATGTCAATGTTTAAAACAGAGTTAACTGTCAAAGGACATTTTCTGTCTTAAAGAGAATCTGAGACTGTGATATGTAGTTTGAAGCAAAATGTTGATTCATGATTTAGTCATTTGAATAATTTATAGGTATAAAATTCAGCAGAGAGATCTGATTTAAGAAATGAAAAGCACTTGCTGCAGCTTTTCCTTCAGCAAAAATTAAATTATTTTTATAATTTTTAGTAACTCATGGTGCTGTTCAGTGACAGTCTCGTAAACATGCGTAAATGCTTTTAAGGTCAGGGATTACTAGAGAGGATGCAAAATTGCCTCAAGAAAGTGTGTATCACAATGCTGTGCTGAATTTGAGGGTATTCGTTCTAAATCGGACTAAGAAAGCAGAGATCATTGATGAAGTAACTTCTTGGTGGCTACTAGCAGTGGTACTGTTTGTTTCTTAATATTATAATGCATCCAAAATGGATGTAAAAGAAGGTACATAAATGATACATAAACGTTCTCTAAACTTTTGAATTTATTGTATAGATTTACAAGGGATTAGTTAAATTAATCTGTTCTTTCTCAGCTGGCTTCCAGATAGATTGGAAGTGAGATTTTTACTGTTTAAAATACTTATGTTCTTTAATGGTCAACAGTCTGGCAATATTTTTCAAAAGGTAGCATTACCTTTTAAAAAAGATGAAATCTAATGTGTATTTAATTTCTTACTTGTCTACTTAAAAGCAGCATTTGAGTTACTTTTTTTGTATATGCTGATATGATTATGTCTTAGAAATATTAGAAGAGCCTGAGATATTTCTTGCATAGTACTTTTGTTAAGAGACGTAATAGATTATGGTTTTGGTACAAACTTAGTCAAGGTACTGTATATAGGGCAATATTTTATGATACAGACATGTGGATATCATAATGAGATTTGGTTAAATAAGCCTGACTGCTTATGTTAGTGTTAAGTTCTGTACTCTCTGAACCTTCAAACACTGATTTAAGACAGACAAAATGTAATTGTTTCTCTAGTTTAAGAGGGTTTCCTGCCATATCTGTATAAACAGAAAATACTCAGTCCATAACAGGCTTGTCCAATTTCTATTTTAAAGACTAAACATACCCTCCAGCACATTCTTGAAACTATCTGTGGGAATATACAAGAACCTGGAAATGTTTACCAGACTGCAGCTGGATATTCGAAGTTAGCTTCTGAAGGCAATATCCTAGACCTGTTTAATTATTTTGGTTTTGTTTTTATTATAGATGATTTTCAGACAGCCCAACTCTTGGCATTAATACTGGAATTGCTAACTTTCTGTGTAGAACATCATACTTATCACATAAAGAACTACATCATTAACAAAGATATCCTGCGAAGGGTACTCGTTCTCATGGCCTCAAAGCATGCTTTCTTGGCATTGTGTAAGTTTCACAGCTAAAGAATAAACTGGTATTTTGTGCATGTGAAGTGTTAACATGTCTTCATTCTGCTGGAAGAAAACTGTTCACAGATCATGACGATTTGTGACTGAATACAGAAATTCTACTACTACTACACTCTGTTTCTCATACTGATTTATAGATAATGTCAGTTAGTATTAGTAAATAATTTTGCATTTATAGATGTCTTTTTTTCTAAAAAGCAGAAGGATTTTTCTTAATCTCAGGGTAGAGGTGAACCAAAAAGATGGTGTCTCAATATTGAATATCCTAAGAGAACCATTGTAAGTTTTGATTTTTTTTTTTTAGTAGAAATTATCAGAGGTATTTAATTAGAGATACGGCTATCTGACTGCATTAAACAGCACAGAAGTGCAGTGTGCTGCTCTTCAAACTCTGATAGTTTCTTGACCATGCTCAGCACAGTAATAGGAAAGCAGTGTGACTTAATTCTGGAGGCAAGTAAGAGATTTTTTTTTTTTCCACGATTCTTTTGTGCACATAGAATAAAACAAAGCCTAAGTTTGAGCAGTACCATACAATAAGAAGTACCTTTTAAATTTGTAACTGAATCACCTGAGTTTGATTTTAGAACCCTTGGCTGATCTTTTTTATGTACACCTAGTTGCTAACCAAAATGTGCTGCCTTACAGTCAGATGATTACTTTCTGTTTATGCATGGACAGTCACATGCTTGTGTCCACTTTGGAGTTTTAGAAAGAGCTTTAAACTGGATGTAAATTAAGTCTTTGCTTTACTATGTGTGTGAAGAAAATGTCATTTACCAATTTTCAAATGAGATAGTTTGCATCCTAATCAAATAGGACTTAATTAAATGTAATCAAACTTCCATTTGAATAATACGAATGATAAGCGAATTTCCCAATTCTACTGAGAAAATATTTTACCGTTATAATAAGTAATTTAAAAAATCAAAAATATACCTTTATGTTAGTAGTAATATAGTTAAACAGTAGTATATTATTTCTTCAGTGAACAGAGGTGGTTTCACTTCTACAATTATGATGGATGATTTCTTTATGATAAAATAGGTAAGTAATCTTCAGCAGTGTAGTCAGGACTGTTGAGAAGCAGTGAATAGCTGAATGTATTACCTGGTCCTAATAATGTAATGCTGTATAAGAACTGACATTGCAAATTGCCCTAACTAATGCTGAGTAATTTCTGGATTTTTGTTCTTTTAAATTTAAAAATTCTTTTGACAACACTTCTGTTTCAGGTGCCCTTCGTTTCAAGAGAAAGATAATTGGACTAAAGGATGAATTCTATAACCGTTACATAATGAAAAGTTTTTTGTTTGAACCTGTGGTGAAAGCCTTTCTAAATAATGGTTCCCGTTACAATCTGATGAACTCTGCCATAATAGAGATGTTTGAATTTATCAGAGTGGTGAGTGCTGTTACCTGCTGAAGATAATTACTGTATTGTTTAATTTTGTCGTTCAAGAAGACTTTTCTTTTTGCTTGCACCCTAAATTATGCTATCATAGTGATGTGACCATATGATACTGTATTTAAATGAACTTTCTTTTGTATCAGTTACATATTCGTACATGTTCTTTCTTACATTCAAACAGTACCATGACTTGAAAATTGAATTCACTTGATACTCAGTGTACTCACAGTACCCAGATTTGCAAAGGCAGCCCTAATCAAGTTTCATCATGCAGATTGGATGGGCCTGTTATGACAGGAATGTCATTTGAAGCTACTGCTACAAAAACATCAAATTTAGTTGGGTCTGTAATGCTAATTTAATGGACTATAGAAACATACAGAAGAGATACCAGTCTTTTTTTGTTATATTAGTGGAGTGCTACAAAGTCCCTTCTATGGGGAGTCTCTTAAAATACTCATGCCAGTCTGGCTCGCTGCACAGTACTGTTTCCTCACTGTTGTCTGCATCCAGATTTTGACAAGATGCTGTACAAACTGTAAATGTGGTATGTGGCGCCAAGCTAGGGTGCAGACAGTTGTGGAGGAGTAAGTGGGTGAGAAAAAAAGAGGCTTTGTCACCTCTTGAAATCTGTGCTGATGACCTCCTCCTCCTTTTGAGTTGGGACTCAAGGTCATTCAAGACTGTCATCATGGAAGAGCTGATTTAAAAATGGTTTTGAAGCTATGAAAAAAGTTAATCCGTATAGCTGACCCTGACTTTTGTGCTGTGGTCTTTCAGTACTCCATGGGATTGTGTGCTGATTCTACAGTTCATGCTCTGAGGAAATAAATCTTCTTTTATTTTCTTATCCTCCTTTTCATAGACACCCATGTTGCATTTCCAGAATGCTTCTTGGTATCTGGAAAGAATTTTTGTCAATATTATTTCATTCAGGTTATTCTTGAAGAGCTCAAATAAAAAAAGTGTGCTGTTATTACTGATGTATTACCATTCGTAAGAGGTGACCTTTTGAGCGTATACCCAAAAAAGAAAATAACCAGTGTATTAAGATTTATGTTGCTTTGCTTGTCCTTAGTAGATGGTAATTCAGGTGTTTATTCTGCAGTGTATTCCAGGGGCTGTGCAGTGCTAAGAAAGCCAGACAATGCACAGGAGAAATTTTTCTGTTGCAGGATGCAGACTCGTGCTAATCTCAGATGTCTAGAGTGGCTTTGGGCAGCCACAACACTAAACTGAAATAGCAGAACAGTTGGGAGGTTTTTGTAAAGGACCTTGACCAGCACTGTATTGCCACAAAGGAAAAACTTGATGTTAGTTTCTGATGAAAAATATCTTCCTTGTTCTCATCCTAAACAAATAGATTGAATAATTATTTTTACATAAGTAATTTATTTGCAGCAAGGAAAGAAGCAATAAGAATGATAAGTCTGTATCTCATAAACACATTCTTTGACTGATTACAACTGGTATCAGTTAATCATCAATATAAAAATATTGATAAGTTACAGTAGGAAAGACCTTTTAGAATTGGTTTTGGTATAACTTTCTATCAGGGTTTTAGGTTCTAGTCATGTGTTTTGAAGGAGATACTGCTAGAAAATTGCTGCTATTATGCCTGCTTTGCTAATCAAATACTTGAAGCCCTAGATTTTTAACAACACTCGTATGCATAATACTCATTTTTACATAAGCTAATTAATACGATGCTTCCTGTGGAATGTTTAAAAATAATCTCTCATTTCGGTTGCTTTTTATATTGTAATAAATTAATTTGAATGAAAATAAGTCACTTTATGTTTGTTTGTTCTATAGGAAGATATAAAATCACTAACGGCTCATGTAATTGAAAATTACTGGAAGGCACTGGAAGATGTAGATTATGTGCAGACATTCAAAGGACTGAAACTACGATTTGAGCAACAAAGGGAAAGACAAGATAATCCAAAACTTGACAGGTAGAATGCACTAAATGCTCTTATTAGTATACCAGTGCTTTAATTCTGTTTTGGGAATATTGGTGGGTGGTTGTGTGATAGAGGGAAATGTAAATAATTTAGACTCCTGCTTGCATCTCGGGTATTGTTGAACTTACCTGATTGATAGTGTCATTTCCAGATGTGTTGCTTCGAACTCTTGATCAGCTTTCAGCTAACATATTAGTTGCTGGACCTTCAGGAATAATGCTAAATTGTCATATCCCAAACTTACGTACACTATGGTAAAGAGGCTGGAAGTATCTAGTATCTGAAGTTCATTTGCTTAAATAATATTCCCACTGTTTGATTTGAAAGATTGTTCAGTTGTGAATTATTATTCTGTGGATTTTTCCTTCAAAAATTTGCATCAGATTTCCTTTTATTTTAGTTAGTTGTGGGAGTAGATACTTAGATAACCTCTACCAAAATGATTGATAAATAGAATATACAAATACATTTTCAGAGGATGCTTTTTTTTCAGTGTTAGATTTGCTGATGGAATAAAAACAATCTGATGTAACACTTGAATCACTCCTTCTGTTTGCCAGAGCAAAAGTTCCCTTTCTTAGTACACAGTTACCCAAGGTTAAAAGGTTAGGGTGTATAAAAGTAGGAAGTTTAGGACTCCTTACTCTGTTTTTGGCAAATGGTGTTACTTTTATGTGTAGTTTCATTCAAACAAAATGGACTGCTTGTGTGAATAGGCAAGTTACTCCTAAGAATTGTTAGCGAGATCTGTTCTTGTTCTGTTGTCTTGAATTAGTTTGAAAACAACAATCCTGATGAGTTGTACTAGGACATCTGGAAATTTCAGACTTTTAAGTTATTTTATTTCCTGCCACAAGATTTCTTAACCAATATTTAAATTTGAGACTTGTACAATTAAAATGAGAGTATAATTGTAAATTTGCTTTAAAATGTTGAAGCACTTTCAAGAGTATGTGTGGGATCTGTAGTTTTGAGTACTAATGTTTTACAGGTGAGATATTATTTTGGCTTGTGTCAGCTAAGCTTGTCACTTAAACAGCTGTGAAATTCAAGCCTATGATTCTTACATTAATGCATGTGTTGGAAGGAACACCCACATGCTTCCTTCAGTGATTTCCAACCAGTATAGGAAGTAAAACATTCATCTCTTCATGGCTTAAGTTGAGCTAAGTGATTGTGTATAGTTGTCCCATGTGAGTTTATGCAACAGAAAATTACAGCTTCAAGAGGTTTGTAGCTCAACTGGCCCAGTTCTTACCTTCTTCCCCCATCTTCCGTAGTGGCTGTGCAAGCTCTGTCACAGTAGGTGATACCTCAGAAATAATAAAATGCAAAAATAACAAGAATCTGTTGACACATTTTAGCAAAGAACAGTTCAGTGAGGAAGGAGGCCTAAAATTTTGTTGACATGGGCCACAAGTATTCAGGAGAGTGCCACTTAAGTAAGTTTTGCACTATTAGCAGAACTTGAATTTAAATGCATTGTAAAATGATGCAGTATGTATAGATCCAGATGATAGTGTTGGCAAGCAAATTATTCAGAATTAGATTTATTTTTAAAAGTACATTTAGCGTTCATATTTAATACTTTGTAATTTCCTAATTTTTCCCTTCTGGCTTTCTCCTGCGGTCAGTTAATGCAAGACCTTTTCTCTAAATAGAATAAGCTCAGATTATATTATTAACATTTTGATTCTAGTAACAGAGGCTTTATGAAAAACATTAAATTTCAGACTTACATTGTGGCCATAAATTTTGCACAAGTGCTACAAAAATTTGTCAAGGGTTTCATGCTTTTATTGGAAATTGACGGTTATAATCAACATCTAGCAACGAAAAGAGTGTTTTCAGCCTCTCCTACACTTCTCCTCCCCCTGTTCTTCAGGGTGCACATTACTGTCCCTCTCCTCCAAAGCCATAATACTGCTTCTGTGAGAAAAAGGAAAAGGAAGGTGGAGCTGAGATAGACCAACATTAATAATAGATTAAATGGGGAGGGAGAAGTAACACTTTGTATTCAAGGCTCTGATGAATGGAAAATACTGATAGTGACCAAAAAATGTAACAGGTGGATGTGGCAGAAAGTGATAGCTGTCTTTTTAATGTATCTATTTTAAACTGGAGTCATATTTAAGTTAGAGTTTGGGTTGGGGGTTTTGGTGGGTTTTTTTTCCCTTTAACACATAGAACCCCAAATACTGACGAGTTAGAAAGTATTTTCAGGGAAAAAGTCTATAGTTTCTAAACTCTTTGTTTTACAACTTTTTATTTACTGGTACAAACTGTTAAACCAAGCCTGAATGCAACACTTCAGTGACATTTATTAAAATTACTTTTAATAGTGCTGTTGTAAGCTACAGAATTTTGGACAGATAGAGTACTCTGAATGTGCTGTTAGCAGAGTTGTACTTTATTTGCTTTATAAAGAAAAGGTTTTGATGATACCTGCATTGAAAATACAAAGATTGACATTACAGAATGATTTGCTGGTATTTTTATTGCTCTATAATATTTGTATCTGTAAGATGTCACTGTAAATAGTAGAAGTTTTATTATTATATATGAGTTGGGTTTTGACTCAAAAGTTTTAAAACTTACTGTTCTGCAGTATGCGCTCCATCTTGAGAAACCATAGATACAGAAGGGATGCAAGAACCCTAGAGGATGAGGAGGAAATGTGGTTTAATACTGATGAAGATGATATGGAAGATGGAGAGGCAGTGGTGCCCCCTTCTGACAAAACTAAAAATGATGAAGATATTATGGACCCTATCAGTAAATTCATGGAAAGGAAAAAATGTAAGTGATGAGAAGAAGAATGCCATATGGCTTATGCAGAAGCCATAACTTGTGTTCTTTAGTCCTGCTGCACTGAAGGATTTGCATGTATTTATTCAGAAGTTCTTAGGTTTTGAAATTGTAGCACCAAGTTGGTGGACCACTCCTTCAAGACAAGTTTTGTTGTCTTTAGAGGTGGAATGACACAAAATATTGTTGTTGATTTCTTAAAGCATTTGAATGACAATCTTAGCTGATAGTCAAGTTTTCCTGTGTTTTATTCAGGATTAGAATTCAGAATTTTCAATGTAAATGTTCAGGTGATATCATTGGTGGAATAAAAGTGTTCATTCCTGGCCAATGACAACAGCTGGTAGGTGGTATGGTAGTTTAAAAAAAAAAAAAAGTCTGTGATGAGTCACTTTACCAAGTTGTACTTAAAGTATTAAGCCTTTTCCCACACAGTAAATGATTTGTAATTAAATGTTTCGCTTAATGATACTGCTTTACATTTGCATTTTTTTGCTTCTTTTTTTTCTCTCCAGTAAAAGAGACTGAAGAAAAGGAAGTTCTTCTGAAAACTAACCTTTCAGGTCGTCAGAGCCCAAGTTTCAAGCTTTCCTTTTCCAGTGGTACAAAATCTAACCTTACCAGCCAGTCATCTGCAAGTAATCTGCCTGGATCCCCAGGGTCTCCCGGATCCCCAGGGTCCCCTGGGTCTCCCGGATCAGTTTCTAAAAGCACATCTCAGATGGCAGCTATTACAACTAAGGTAATTTTGAAGTGGCATAGGTTGACTTCGTTGTTACAGACTAGGAATTTCCTTTAGCATCTCTTTCAAGTTTGTGTGAGTTCTGACATGTTAAGCAATAGGGGACTGTCTGGTTTTTGTGTACTTTTTGTCTGGCCTTTAGCATCTTTAAGGAGATCTGACATATATAAAAAGAAGAAATAAAAGCTCTTTTAATGCCCAAACTCTTAAAGTGTGAAGCATGCAACTAGCTGCTGTTTGCAGTGATCTTTACTGTGAAATACAGACAACAGTTTACTTTTGTTAGATTGCACAGGGATATTTGGCAGGTAGAAATATAGAAATACTTTGGAAACATTGCCAAATTTTGCCAGACTCCACGATGTCCCACCCACCCCCACTGAGAATTTTTACCTGTTAACCATTTTAAATATTGTTCAAAATGATATAACTGGCACATGTGAAAGAAATAAATTGTATTATGGACGGGTGGTTGCTGTAAGCCAGAATGTAAACAATTTTTAATGTCCTAGCATGGCTTTTTTACCTTTTGAAATAACATAGTTTTGGGTTGGAACATATTGAAGTAGAAGAAGAAAGCCCATTTAAAAGACTCAGTATAACTTGCAGTAAGTATCCAAACCCAGCATTTTTAAATACATTTTAGGATGCTGTTGGTTTTTATCAGATTTTTGGCTAAAACTCTATTTAAACCATGTCAGGGAAATAGAGCGACCGACTGGTGTTTTCTCAGCACTGGGGGACAGATAAGGTAGTGTTGGTACAGTGTAGTTTGGATAATGAGAATTTACTTTTATAACAAGAGTTTCCATTTCTGAAAGGTCAGTTATGTATCTCAGTTCTCAGGTAGCCTCGGAATAACTGATTCATCCTTATTTTTCAGTGCCGCTGTTCACTAGACTTCTAGGAAAGGCAAATGGGGTTTTACATTTTTTTTCTTTCTTACAGTTGAACATGGCTTAAGAGTTTGTGTTTGGATTACATTCTGTTGAAAAAGCCTGAATGAGAAAATTTGGGCTGATGGAAGAACTAAGTGACACTTCCTCTAAATCATTCTGTGGGAAGGGGAAGCAGATTTATTTAATTTATGAAAAAATACAGTAGATACTCAAGCGCTTCTTAAAAGGGATAGAAATGGCTTGGAATTTAGTTCAGTCTATTCTGTATTTCTGCTGGAGGCTTGTTCTCTCCCAGACAGTATAATGCCTTGAATCTGAAATGGAGTCTTTACATGTGGAGCATATTGCATACAGCATTGGCTCAAAAACATCAAGTTTTGGCAAAAGAAAAGCGTTCAGGTTACACTGAATATGCAGTGTGCTTGAAAAACCATTCATGGATTCAGACATAAGCTACCTTCGTTCAGTAAAACGTACACTGTTTATAAATGTTGCCACAGTTGCAAACTAGAAACAGTGTTGAAATGGGGTTTTTCATTAATTATCTGATCCTGTTATTTTATGTGTAGTATACTCAGTGTAGTGTTGTATGTGACTGTGCAGAATGTGTGTAGTTTTGGATGTCTGTCACTAAACACCTGAGTAAGTAATACGGTCTTTGAGTAAAGTACCAGTAAGTGCCATTGTAGTCAAATGCTGGTTAAGCTTCAGAAAATGCAACATACTGTAGTTAGAGGAAGTTTTAGAAGTTCATGCCATTTCTTCATGTGTCCAGAGCAGCCTATTCTTAAAATTTGTGGTTATTTGCAATACAAGGGAGATTCTAATATTACTAGCTATGCTTTCATTTTCAGCTGCCAAGTTGTTTAAATTTTGTAACCTGTACACCTCATTCTATTCTATTATACAAAAAATTCTTTAAGTTACTACACATTTAAACTAGCTTTTGTGAAGACAGACTGAGTTCTAAAAGTATCATAATTCAAAAACTCAAATTGAAGGATATTCTGTATTTGTTTCTGAAGTGCTTCCAGATTGCTTGTTGCTGCAGTCAGCTATACTCAGTTAAAAAAAAAGTGTACGTCTTTACAGATAAAGCTGCAGTTAAACTTAGCACAACTAAGTAGATTTTTGGATTTTCTTAAGTTTCAGCTGGAAGTATTTCTATCCAGTTGGATAGATAAAACCCCATTTTGGATTTATTCATTTAAACATTTTTCAGATAATGTCATTTACATTCATACTGAAGGATTTATTTTTGTTCTGCTTCATTTTATTCAAAACTTCATGAAGCGATATGCTTATGGCAATATTCTGTGCAAACATCATTTTCCAATACCAACATGAAGTATCAATGTGCAAATATTTTCTTAATTATAGTAATTGTGTCTGTCTTTGTAGGGAGGCCTCGTTGGGCTTGTGGATTATCCTGATGATGATGAAGAGGATGATGAAGATGAAGATAAAGAGGAAACTTTACCTTTGTCAAAGAAAGCAAAGCTTGAGTCATCATAATGGTAACTGCTGAAGAACATTACCAGTTGGAGGAAGGATATTTTTTCCAAAAACAAAACAAACCCACAGCAAAGCAGCAATCTTTTGTGAATAACTGTGTGTGACACAGATCAACCTGTACAAACAGATTTCTGCCAATCAAGTGCCAATTCAAAGGAGCAGAAGGAGGGGAAATATTTCGTTTAGCGGAAAGACTTACGCCTTTGTGCTCTCCAGCTTGGACCACATGTTGCCCTTTTCTCAGGGAAGGAAATGGAAAACAAAAAACAAAACAAACAAACAAAAAAAAACCCCACAAAAAAAAAAGCCAACAGGGCAGGAGTTTTGTTAGTGGAACTTGGGATTGGCTGGTCAGTTGCTACAATCAGAATATGCTTTCTTGGACCATGTATGAGACTTCTGAAGAAAAGGCGATTTTTGCCGTAATTCTTCACTAGTTAAGAATGCCAGCAGTTTCTTTGTATAAAAGAGACCTGCCTTTGAAATCATACATTCTGAACATTTTAGTCAAGCTACAACAGGTTTTAAAAACCTCTATGGGGGAGGGCCGAATATAAAGTTTCCTCTTTTTTTTTTTTTAATCTGTTCCCTTTGCCCTTTAAACTGCAGAATTTTTTTTGGAGGTGGGGGATTTGTTTGTCCCTTCTTGATTAAAGATTGAGTGGAATTCTAGATGTGGTCACTTTTGTGTCATAATTTTTTTTTTGCCCCCCTGAGTGTATGCTTAGTTGTTGAGTATATATTTGGGACCATTAAAATTTTTTGATGTAATATAATCTCACTGTTGTGCTGGTACCTGTTTCACCCTGTGTAATTTTGTTCTGCATCACAGTTCTTAATATGTTTAGGATTTTATGGAAGATGGTATAGTTTTTATTGGAAAAAAAAAATAATCTTACCACAATGTGCATAAAAGCAATACTATTTTGTGACTAAATATTTTATATTAAATTTTACATCAGCAACTGTCTTGAGAAGAAATTCAGGGAAATAGGATGGAATCAAAAAATTGAAACCTATAAATATGAAATTAGTATTCCAAAGAGACTTTGAAATTTCATAACTGAGAACAACAATGGTAGACTAACTCATCAAAATGCAAGATGGATGATTTAGGAATACCAATATATTGACTCATTTGACTTACAAAAAATAAAAAAGAAATAATTAAAGCTGAAGGAAAATGGCATTAGTGGTATTTTTTTAAAACCTCTGATTCCCTTTGGAATACCAGTTTTAGTGAATTAAAGATGGTTGTAGAATAAACTCTTTACAAGGATACCATCTTTTGAAATTTATTCTAATACTCGATTGAAAAACAGCAATTAAACTGTGGGTCTAACTCAATGACTACATTCTTTCCCCTTTTTAAAAAAAACCTAAATAATATTAGTTATTAATTTGAAACTAAATGTTATATCCTGCTTCCTTATTGCTTTTACAGAAGATGGCTTGGATTGCACAGAGCAGTGCTTTCTGTGAAGGGGCGTTTATTCAGTTCCTTTGCAAACAGGAGACCCCTTCTTACTTATGTTTTCAAGAGTTTATTTCCTTTTGGACATTCAAAGCACGAATGTTGCAATGATCGTGATGTTGCACATTAATGTGTCACATACAAATAGAAATAAGAAATTAAAATCTCCAGCTGGGTCATACATGATCATACCCAAGCGTAGATTAGCACTTTGTTCTGAAAATTGTGGGTTGCATGGCAGATTCTATGCTAACTACAAATGTCAAAGCTTTTGTGCTTGGACTTTATTAATACATATTAGTAATTGCAGATTTAAATAAGAGTGTGCTTTCGGGAAAAATAATTAACCACCTCTTTTCCTCAAAAAGTTCATTTGAAATCACTTTCCAAGGTTGAGCTTTTACAATATGCTTGAAATGTCTGTGCCAGGGCAGTTTCTCAGCAATAAATTTTACAGCAAGTGCAAGAGTTGAGCACTTGGTCACTACAAGACTAGATACAATCTTCTGCTGCGGTATCAAGAGTCCCCATGCTGTCTCAACAACCTGTCTGAAACCTGATTTTTGCAACTTTGGTGTCAGAGCAGACATGGTGACAAGGAAATCTGTAATTTTGCAGGTTTTCTTAATTGGCCCGAATTTAAATCCTTCCCAATCTGTCAGACTTTCCTTGAGCATAAAGCTCTCAAAATTCTTCCATATAGTTGTCTTCATGTCCTCCAGGCTATATCTTAGGAAGTAATTTTTTCTGAGTTAGTTAAAGGGACATTTTTTGGTTGTGGGTTTTTTGTGTGTGTTTTTTTTTTCTCTGTGTGTGTTCATTCTTCCAGCTACTGAGTGCTTGATCTTTTGATGTTTGAGGCTGCAGTCTTCTAAACTTTCAGATACTTTCATAATAGTTGTAGGACTCTTGGATTCTGGAATTCCAGTACTTGAAGCATTACATCTAGCAGAAGAAATACTATCCTTAATTTACTGGGTTAGGTCAAAATAATAACGGAAGTAGGAATATTTTTGAACTTCTTATGAGGCTCTAAAGGACTGGTAAATATTAAGCTGTACATCTTTTAATGCTGTCTAACTTGCAGTTACATGGTTAGTTGTCTTCCTAGAGATCTCATGCTTGTAGCCTGACAGGACCTGTCTACACTTAGATGATATATTCATGGAAGTTGGAAGTAGTCAGGAAGTAAGTGAGTTGGGGACAGTGGCTCTTGCCCAGTGGCTTTCACTTTTGTATTCATGGAAATCTTGAAATATATTTCAGGAAAAATGAAGTAGTGGGACTGTGAGAATTGATGGATATTAAAAAAAAAAAAAAAAGAGGTGCGCGTGAGTTGAGATGGAAAAAAATGATGTTACAAAACAGCGTTCCAGTCTAGATCTTTTTCTAGGCTGATGGTTTGGGGGTTTTTTTTATTCTTAGTTTTAATACCATTTGTCCACATCCCAAGAGAGCTGTGTGTATATTGTATTAAACATGGCTCAGTCATCTTAATTGCATTTTAACTGTATCCTTAAGTATGGTTTACAGGGTAAGCCCTTAAGTATCGTACAGGAAAGATGCAACGTGCTTGAATCATCAGTACAGGCCCCTATGTTCCTTCAGTGATTGACAGACTTGATGCTGCTTACTCTGATGTAGACTTCCCAGCTTTGAGCCTGGGTTCGCTGGGGATTCCAGACAAAAGTATATAGAGTACCTGGTTCTCCAAGGGAGCACACGCTTACACTAATGAAAGTAATGCCAGGTAATCTGGAGTATTTCCAGATTTTCTTCCAGCGTACACAGAAGGTGTCTGTTTTCAGGTAACAGTGCACATCACTGAAAAACAGATCTCCTGTGTCATGAGGGCGGAAGGATCTGAAAGCTGGTGTATGTAACAATAAGTTGCCTCTCAAATGTACCTGCCTGTACTATACCTACTTGGTAAAGAAGATCAGGCTGTTCATCCATCTCTTACAGGCCACCCAGATGAGAAGTCGTGTTCTCATGGAATTAAGTGTCAGGTAGGCCTGATCCTTTTAACATACCGAGGATGAAACTGTTCAGATCAGTTTTGGCTGTGTTTTTACATCTCTGCAAATTTGCAGAAACTGTCTAATTAGATAACTGATAAGAGTCTGTTCTCATATTGCTGCTGCGGCTCCATTAGGGAATAAGCTACCTTTGAACCCAGCACAAGTTACATTGGTTGCCTTGCTAAATTATGTTTCCTATCATCTGTAGAGTGGGCACAGAAGTTCAGCCTTACCTTTATCAGCCATTTTACAGCTGCGGAGTCATCCTGGAGCAATGCTGTCTGTGCTAGTATTGGAGTTCCCCTGCCTCAAGGATATTGAGACCCATTCCAGGTAATCTGTGAAAGCCAGAGACCAGATGGGTTACTGCTTGGGTTCACCCACCTAAGTGTAAAACTGGGCAAGCATTCAAAGAAGAGAAGTTACCAACAACTGAAGTTTTTCAAGATAAGTTGTCTGTGTGCATGTTCTCCACCTGCTCCTATTGCTTTCGCTTTTTGGAGTTCAGAAGAAATGAAGATATATACAGCTTACGGTTCAGTCCAGAAAGGAGGCAGGGCATGCAGCCATGCTGCAGATACAGCAAAACCTGTGGAAGGATTTGTAATGCCTGCCTTCAACCATAGCCACAATTTGAAGTCTTTTATTCAAGCAAGGGAGGCATAACTTACTATATTTTCATAGGTGGCTAGCTATCTGGTGAGCTTGTGTCTCAATTTAATATTGCTCTAGTTGCAGTTGCATTCATTGGAGTGTTCAAGTCTAGTGGGCTTTTTCTATAAATTGAAATTAATAAAACTATTCAAAGCTGAAATGAAACCCTGCAGACTGCTGGAAAAAAGGCAATCTAAAAAAGCAGGGGGGGAGATGTAGTCTTCTGTATGCCAATTTTATTTAAGAACAATGTAAAAATAATATATAAACTAGTGGATAATATTAAAAAAAAAAAAAGCAGGTAGAATGTTACTGAAATAGCTACTGAAATAGCTACTGATTTACAGTGTTTTCAGACCTGTGCCAGCAGCCTTGCTGTGCCCTGTTCCATCTCCCGGAGATGTAAAGTATCTGTCTTGGAACTTCTCTGAAATGGTTCCATGTGAACAACTGTGTGTGGTTTAGGTTGAAACCTGGAAATTATTTGATATAGGGTGGAATTACGCTCATAAAATGTGCATCTGTAATATAGACTGGGGATGATTTGGGCTGAATAATGATTTTGATACCCCACTTGTAAGCAACTTTAATGCATAAAGATACTGTATGTGGGCTGCCCACCTAAAAGGGCTCAGAAGCACTCAGTAGTCGCGTGTATCACTTTGTTAGCATTGCTTCTGGAAGTACGTGCATAGCGGAGCCCTTACATTATGCTCATGAGTTTTCAGACAAGGCAAGGCTAGTCTTTTCTCTTGTGTTTCAGATGCACGCTTTAGTGGCTGAAATCTTGGAAAATTGATTTTAAAGTGTGCTTACCTCAGTAAGGCTTATTTTAAACCTGCTGATGGTGAGTGGCCTTTTGACAGCTGTGGTGTTCAGAGAGGAGGTTGATGCTCTTAGGTTGGAGAGTTCAGTACAGTCTTCCATCCTCCTGGTGAGGCCAGAAAACAGTACGACTGCACTTTCACTCTGTCACTGAATCGGTGTTGAATGGTCAAGGATCCCTGAAGGAAGCTATGATCAAGAAAGCTATGATCAAAAGCCATTTGTTAATCTTGTTTGATCAATGCTGTGGCTAAGGATGTGGAGGTAACTGGAAGCAGCTCCCGATGAACCGATTCACAGGAGTCTATGCTAACAACAGTGAACATTTGGGAGAAACTTTAAAAAAACTGCATTTCCAATCTGCTTCTACTTCTACAGGTCTGAAAATGGTGTTAAGTTAGATCATCTTATCCTGAAAAAAAGCTTGTTTTCGCCCCATGGCTTCCCTCACCTCCACGATTCCCCCAAAACAGAAGTGACTTCCTCTGCTGCCATCAGTTGGGATTTTGTAGATTAGCCAGGAGAGCTGGAAGCTGCAATTCTTACTGAAGCAACAACTGCTGATTAAAACAAACAACAGAGCACAGCTTTTAGCACATTTGAGTTTAGCCTCAAAATGGAAATAAATCTTCTACCTCTTCAAGGTCTAGATTACCTGGAAGATGAAGAAGAAACAAGGAAGATGTGAATGTTTGT